TAGCAAAGTGTGAGTGTCAACAGCCTACACACACACGGCGTCAATAGCACATCAAATTTTTTAACTCTTACAGTAGCATAGCCTCGATACCTCCTTGTGGTTTATGTTGGCGTTTGGGATGGGGGACGGGGGAGGAGGGAATGGAGGTGGAACCGCCCTTTTTTGGAGGTCACAGACATCTCATACTTTCGCAGGAGTCTGTCATGCTTGTATCACCGTTTTCACACTCCCTCTAGTGCCAAATTGGCGATTGTTGACAAACTTGTAAAATAAAGCAAAGTTTTCTCGGATAACTAATATGTTATCGCGAGTGGCCTTCACTATCAACACCCCGGCCTCAGACCCCCAAAATATGATTCATAAATCATAGGTTAGGTGAAAACAATATTTGCAATTAAGTAAAAAAATTATAAATGTCTCCTCTAATCATCCTGTTAAATAGTCGACGAAGTTTTGATATAAAAAATAATGCATTTTGAGCATTTGTCACATACTTTACTCGCACATGTCTTTGATGGTGAAAGTATGAAAATAGCTTCAAATCGACCACTAAAATCAATCAATACTGTATGCTGCACATCACAATAATCGTATGTTACTTATTTCTTTTAAGTAGCAACCATAAGATTTTACTTGTATTTACAATATTCGATGCCATTTATGCTTACTGAACAAAGAAACATTTTTGGTAAATATTTCTTTGCTATAGCATTAACAAAAAACAAAGCTGTCATGTAATGCAGGCTTAATTAGTTGGAAATTTGCCTTAACCAGATTTGAAGAGTAAAATGGCCACTTGGCCCATGTAGAAGTAGATGAAGTGTTTTGTTTCGTGTGTCACGTAACTAAAAATCAAAAGGAGAGCAATAAAGAGGGACGAAGTGATGGCGAAAGGTCAGTGTAAGCATAAGCATTACCTTCCAAAATTTCGACCTACAATACAGTGCCAAGTGGGACTGTACAACCGGTCAAATTCCTTTTTAATGTGAGCCGCAATATCCTTCTCCACATTGTACTTGTTCATGGCGTCCTGGGCGCAGTCAACTGCACGTTGTTGCATGTCCTCCGCCATATCGGCGTTTTTAACAACAGCCTTATTCTGGGAACCGTAGCTCATGACCTTATTTTCTCCCTCGGGAGCTGTATCAGGGCGGGATTTCCATCTCCACAAGTTTATATAGTTAAATGCTGCGTCATTTGAAGCAGTTGTGCCAGTAACTTAGCCTCGATGCTTGATTGTGGATTATGAGCTTGGGTATGGCTCCCGTGGAAAGCATGTGAATCTAACTGCATTGCGTCAGTGGTCTTATTAAATTCTCAAAGCGTATTGAAATCTCCTTACCCCTCCGAAAGCACAAGATTCCCTCCGCCTAACTGCCTCTGCAAGGTCGAGCCAAGAGCCAGCATGAGTTGATTGAGGTGTGACAAATTTTGGGAGGCAATAAATCAGTTTAAGAGGTGGAATCTCTTCTTAATGGCTGCTCCCTACACTCCATTGTGTCCGCGTCAAAGGGATGCCATTTCCTCCGTGGAAAAAGTTTTTTCAACCCTGAACACGCCACAGCATTTTACATTTCT